AACAACTGCAGTGATTCACTTAACAAAGGTGGCAAGAAAAGTCGTAAAATGGGGCAAAACTCATTTAACAAATTTCTCACTTAGCAACATTTGGGGCTCATTTGTGGTCATAAGTTGAGGATTAGTTATATTTCATTTCTGTGGCATCCTTGGTGCTCTCCAAGTTTGGTTGTTTGCTTGCAGATGTTTCATTATCAAACTAGGTAACATCATCATGGTTACTGAGTGTGGAGTTTGCTCCCTATTTATTTATACAGTAATTGGGTAATGAAATGTCTGCAAACAAACAACCAAACTCAGAGAGCACCAGATTTGGTCCAGGGTAGAAAATAGAAGTCTATGAGTTCAAGTCCCGCCTTAGCCATGAAAGCCAGCTGGGTGTTTTAGGGCCAGTCATTCTCTCTCAGCCCAACTCACCTCACAGGATTGTTGTTGTGGAGAGAGAAAAAGGAAGGTGAGTTGCATATGTTCACTGCCTTGTTTGTAAAAAATAAATAAATAAAGATGGGATACAGACGGGTGGGATTCTACTGGTTCGGTCCGGTTCGGGCAAACTGGTAGCTCCGAGGATCAGCTGGGAGTGAACTGGTTCAATTTGCTCTGACAATCACCCACCCACTCACCTGGGCTCTAAGCTGTGCTTTATATCCCGTTTTTCAAACTCAGCTGTTTCACAGCAGATTGCCTCATGCCAGCTGTTTTAACACACAGGAATTGCTGGAGAAGGTCAGTAGCAAACGGTCTGGGTGCGCGAAGCATATGCTCCTTGAACCAGTTGTTACACTGGTTGAATCGCTCCCCTGGATAGAGAGAGGTTCTCTTCCGGTGTTCCATTTCCATTCATTGTTGGGATTTTTTTTTTCCTACTAAAAAGAAGCGGGGAAACAACAGAAGAACATAGAAAGGTTAGAAACAGAAGACAATAATGTCTGGACCTCCATCAAATATCACGGCCATAACATAAGAAATGGACTCGAAGCACCTAAGCTGCCAGGTGTAAAGAACCAGAGAAGAAACCCCAGGCTTATTTGGCAACCAGAATTATGATTCTGACGTTAGCTTTGCAATACGTTTTCTTAATCTGCATCGTGTGTTCCACCTCTGGAACTAGGGAAGGGACACACCTAAGCGATGTGTCATGATCGAAGCATCTAGCGAGGGACCTTGACACCTCAGCAAAGCTAAGCTGATATCTCAAGGTGGCAGAACCCTGAGCAGCAGCAGAGTGACGTTGCACCTGCCATACAGAGATGCAAAAAAAAACCCACCCCACCCTTGGGTGCTTGCAATTCACCTTCCTTCCCTTTGTTTATCATGGGGTTTATTAGCAGCTGATAAGGGCTTCAGAGCTTCCGAAAAATGGGGCAGCTGTATGAACTCATGGGTGAATGACGAAGTTGGGGCCATTTCTCTCTGGCTAGCTAATGAAGTGTGGTACAAAGGTTGGCCACTTTGTCATTGGCCACAGGGGAAGCATAGCATATCCATCTAAAGGGCAATCACAGCAATAGGCAGCGCAATGATTCAAATGCCATGCGGTGAGACGTGGGATTTTCTGCCCTTTCGTTTTTCCTTGTGTGTTTTTTGGAGCAGTCTGAGGCTGTTGCACTTTTTCATGGTTTAAGGAGGCATGCTTGCAGGCCTTCTACTATCTCTTTGGTGTGCTTTCCCGACTAAAAAAAAAAGCATAAAAGCACATACAGTGCGCAATTTATGACGGACCGCTTAGCGACGGTTTGAAGTTACGGTGGACCTCAAGAATAGGACTTACGATCTGGATTTGAAGTTCTGATGTCCCTCTTCCCTTCCGCGGTCACATGACCACATTTGGGTGCTTGGCAACCGGCCCATATTTACAGCTGTGGTGGCGCGGTGATTAGAGCGCTGTCCTGCAGGCTACTTCTGCTGACTGCCGGCTGACTGCAATTTTGGCAGTTCAAATCTCACCAAGCTCAAGGTTGACTCAGCTTTGCATCTTTCCAAGGTTGGTAAAATGAAGACCCAGATTGTTGGGGGCAATAGGCTGACTCTGTAAATCACTTAGAGAGGGCTGTAAAGCACCGTGAAGCGGTATATAAGTCTAAGCGCTATTGCTAGTGCAGCAGTGGTGGGATTCAAGTTTTTTTACTACTGGTTCTGTAGGCGTGGCTTGGTGGGCATGGCAGGGGAAGGATAGTGTAAAATCTCCAGTCAGAGGTGGTATTTGCCGGTTCTCCAAACTAATCAAAATTTCCCCTACCGGTTCTCTAGAACTGGTCAGAACCTGTTGAATACCACCTCTATATTGCAGGCATTTGCAGTAACCTGTAGTCATATTATGACAATTTATTGTGGTTTTGCTGGAAACCAGTGTTTATTTCTGGTTTCTGGTGAAAAACGCCCCATAGTGAACAATGGGTTTGCCTAATGACCATGGTGTTTACTTAATAACTTTATAGTTGCCACATTTGTTTAATGACTGCCCACAGAAAAGACCATAAAATCAGACATGGCCACATGGAGACCTGTTTTAAGACCATCACAACTTAGGATCGAAATTGTGGGCTCAATTACCATCCTATAGTGGGCTTTTGGAAATATGGATCAGCTCTCTAGGACGCCACAAGAATTGAGGTTCTTCATCCAGATATAATGAATACAGGCGACTAAAGCAGCCTTCTGTACTTTGATACACCCCAAGTCTATTGAATGACAACTTCCATCATTTCCAGCCAACAAAACTATTGCAGAGAAGAGGGGATCAACCTATTTTCCAAAGCACAAGACAGCAAGACAAGAAACAATGGATGGAAACTAATCAAGGAGAGAAGCAACCTAGAATTAAGGAGAAACTTCCTAACAGGACAGTTAGCTGGTGGAATGGCTTGCCTCCAGAAGCTGCTACCATTGGAAATTGTTAAGAAGAGACTGGACAGACATTTTTCTGGAATGGTGTAGGGCAGGAGTGTCAAACTCACAGTGTCACGGTGATGTCATATGATGTATTGGGACTTTTCCCCCCTTTGCTAAACAGGACAGGGGCGGGGCCAGCACATGAAGCATCCAGCCCATGGGCCATGAATTTGACACCCTTGGGTAGAGTCTCCAGCTTGAGCAGAGGGTTGGACTAGAAGACCTCCATGGTCCCTTCCAACCAGGGGTGGGATTCTACCAGTTCTCACCTATTTGCTAGAATCGGTTGTTAACATTCTAAGCAGTTTGGAGAACCAGTTGTTAGAAGAAATTACTGGCCTAATCCTGTAAGGAAGGCAGGAAGGAAACATTCTGGTGTTGCTTACAGAAACTGCCTCTCTGTTAACCCTTTTTACGTTCTTGGCAGGACTAGATTTCCTGTCTCTGGAACTTCTCTGGAGTTTTTCCCCCCTCCTTTGCTGGTACTTCGCTTGTGTGGAGTGACCATTTAAAGTTACAGTGGCACTGAAAAAAGTGACTTATAACCATTTTTCACACTTATGACTTGCAGCATCCCCACAATCATGAAAGGCCAGGCGAGGAGATGCGTGCCTCAATGTGAGTGATATATAACATGAATAACATGACTACCAAGCCACGTCCACCCTGTCACATGAACATCAAGCCATGCCCACCACCTAAGCCACGCCCACAGAACCGATTGTTAAAAAATTTGAATCCCACCCCTGCTTCCAACTCTGTTATTCTGTTATCTCATTCCCACATACCTTTTAGAAAAATAGTGGTGATATGTGTAAGATAGGGATAGGAAATGAAGACTGCAAAGTTTCTAATCAGTTTTCTGTTGATTCAATTGCATTTTAATTTAGCAGTGGGGAAAGGTCCTTAGTATGATGTGTAAATCCAGATTATCTTTCTTTGTCCTGTACCTGCAGTCATGCCCTTTGAATATTCTGTCTTGGGCATGATCTTTATTGTGCTAAATGTGTAATATTTATAGCGCCCTAAATATAATGTATTCTCTGTATTCTAGTCTTACTGGCTGAAGAAAACTCAAGTTTGCTAGCACTTATGGGAAGTGGTAGATTAGTAGAATTGATCTACTGGGTCTACTAATGCTTTGGGATCAAACAGTTTGTTTTGCTCCTTCTGCGCAGCAAAAGATTCCACCAAAAGGTAGCTACTTTAGAATCAATACGGAGTTTTGCCTCTGCTTCTTGCAACATTGCTCCAGGCTGGATTTCAAGCCAAAAACCTAATTCAGACCCTAAGTAAAAAGCCACACAAGCCACGTTTAAAGAGCATGTTTTGAAAAAGACAAAAGTCTTCGGAGAGGATCAGTGGTTGTTAGACTGTGGGGAAGATCAGGAGGGAAGGTAGTGTCGTCCCAATGAAAATGAATGCTCTGAAGTCACACTTGGTGTTAAGCCTATAATATAAATACAGAGGTGGAATTTTAACGTTCTCTGCAGTTTATTAGCAGCTGATAAAAGCTTTGTGGTTCCTGAACCCTGGGGGGAAAGCGGTGATTTTTCAGCACAATTTTTTAGAGATACACCTGCTATGCATTCTATAGACATCAAAACATGTCAAGTAGGAATATAACTACATGCAATCTATACAAAGCGCTCTTTGTGCACTGCACATGATGTTATTCATCTTTTATAACAGTCCTCTTATTTGTTCCCAAAGGTACTGTTTACCATGAAGTGCACCATGGAAAGTTTTTTTTAAAAAACAACAACAAAGGGCTCGTGCACAACCCCCTTTTCCTGTGAATTCCTCTTCTGTCAAGTTTCTCCCATCCCTGCTCTCAATGCTACAGCGGCATTTCAGCAGCCCCTTCTGGAGCAAAGGGCACCCACACTTCCCTTCACATCCTTGCTGTTTGAGGCTCAGTCTATCCTCTCCCCAGGCACCCATTCCCACTCTTTTGCTAAAGGCTGGCTCTGTCCCCAGCTGGATAAAACCTCCCTCTGAGCACCAGAAGGCAGCCAGCCAATCACAGAGGGACAAAGGGCAGGACCAAGGCTGCCAGAATGACAAATGTCGAGGCTGGCACTTGGGAAGAGCCAGTTGATGAGCTGAGATCTCTTAAGGGAGAGAGTCCTCCTGTTCTGGCAACAGCAGCAGGTCCTGGTGACCAGAAAGTCTCAGAGGTCCTGGAGCTGATTGTCTTCTCCTGATTCTGGGCAGATTGCCAAGCACCCTGGAATGCAGCAAAGGCACAATTCATGAATTCCAGGCACTGCCGCTAGACTTCTGAACGACATCGTTTTTCCCCCGAATCTTGCCACTTGAGTGCTTCATGGCTTCCACTTACAGCCTCCAAGGAAGCTGGACTCCTCTAGCCGCACTGACCTTACTATGGACTTCTTTGGCTTGGGTTGAAGGAAAGCCAAGCTGTCCTTCCTGCAGGATGCCCCCACTGGAACCCAGTGCCGAGAAAGCCTTCCTGATCGAAGTAGCCAAGCAACAGATACTCCAGAAACTGAACCTGAGCGAGAGGCCCAACATCACCCACCCTGTACCACGCGTGGCGGTGGCCAACGCCCTACGGCGGCTACACATGGGCAAAGGCTGGACAGATGGGTCAGGACACTTCTCCAGCTGGGAAAAAACAGAGTCCGATGAGCAGGGGTACGAGATCATTAGTTTTGCAGAGACAGGTGAGTGCCTGCAGGTCTTCCAAATAAATGTGTTAGCCAAGGACCGAATACGTTAAACCAGAAAGCATAGATCCTTTATGTTTCTGTCCCTCTGCTCCATAATTTGCTACCTATGAAAGTGTGCTTGGAGAGGAAAGGCTGCAAATAACTCCTGAAACCTATCCCATGGTTTAGGTTAGAGCCTGACTATGTGCTGGAATGCATCAGTTGCAAAAAGAGAAAAGGTAACGTGTGTTTTTGGATCTACTGATCAAGGGGGACAAATTACACCTTTATCATCAGATCTAGCTTCCTGTGGCACCTCAGATCTACATAGAGATCACTTCCTCTCCCAAAGAACGGCATGTTTCTGGGGTCAGAAAGATGTATATTTGGCATCGTCGTAACTTTATCCAACCAGCTGAATCTTTAAGATCTTCAAGATTGGAAGTTTTCAAACTTTTTGAAGTCCTGGAACCTGTTCATTTTTTAAACATGAAATAAAATCCCAGTATCCCTGATCAAGGGATAAGGTTCTGGTGATTTTTTTAAAAAAAAGCTATATTCAAATGAATTTCTCTCCCCCACTCCCTTAGTCTTTCATCATGTTGAAATTCCCATTTACCTGTTCCAGTGCAGCCACTGGGTTATGGGATGTTAAACTATCATTGCAGGTTTTGCCATAGTGAGAAAAAAAACCACCAGATGACCAAGAACACTAGGAGGACAAAAGAATCAATTCTGTCACATCAAGGATTCCATCAAATTGACTTACTATCTTTTTTTAAAATGTTTGTTTCCTGCAGCTGTTGGTCCATTTTTCTTTGCTTAAAATGCAACCTGAGATGAAATAATGTGATGCAGCGGGTTAAAAAGGATAAAGTCAAAGGGTTGCTTTTTAAAAATTTATATAAATTTTATTCTCTTATAGCCAATAGGCAGATTTAAAAGACGCTTGCCTGTCATTCTCTCATCATCCATATAGAAAACAGGTAGCTGCAGGAATATTCTGCACAATCTTATTGGTTTACCGCTTCATTTAGTCGTCCATATTTCTGATTTCATCCTTTGGGTTTGGCCTAGTAAACCCCAAAACTCGAGGTTTTGGGGGAATTCCTTACACGTCACATAGAATGCAAGAACAGATTCAACCCCAACACTGCTGTGTTGAAGGGTGCTCAGACTTAATTCAAGTATATGCAATTACTTCATTCTATGATGATTTTTACATTAATGCCTGAGGGACTGTATGAAGAACAGGTTTAATATGTACATGACCATCTCATCCTGGGCAAGGTTTACTATTAAGCTTCTAAGCATATTATTATAAGGTTTACAATTGAGGAGCCATATTTTGTGATGTATAGACTAGTCACACCGAAGATATATCTAAAGTAGACAAAAGTATATATTTAATGCTGTTCCAAGAGCAAGTGAAATTATCTTTCTTTTTTGCATTCATTTGCATACATGCACATAATTTTAAACACCGAAATAAGCACTGTTGTGATTATGATTATTACTACTGCAATTGCTATTAGGGCTGCTTGCACTGAGTAGCTCAATTTCAAATTCAGAGCTAAAGAAGGAGCTGATCTTAAAAAAAAAAAAAGTGAGCGTTCCTTAGACGGTTCCATGGTTTCAATCCAACAAGCTGCATTGGTCATCCCCTCCTGGTGCCTTTTGAACTAGTTGGGATTCTTGGCCAGCATGGTTTTGAAGGCAGATTAATATACAATATATGAGGCTAAATGCAAATGTAGCAAATAAGGAAAGACCAAAAAACAAAACAAAACCCATTCACCCTTTTAAAAGAACTCAGGCTCTAGTTTGGGGCTGGCAGCTTAGAGACCGATACTGATTTTTGCCGTCACCGTTTTCTCCTCCACAGAGCCTTCCGGCCTCCTTCAGTTCCAGCTGACCCATACAAAAGGCCAAGCCATGCATGTCCTGAAGGCCCAGTTGTGGCTGCACCTTAAGGCGCATGAAAACATCACAATAAAGATCTACGTTGCAGGACAGTCACCACTGGCGCTGGGTGAGCAGCATCTGGGAAGCCAGGGGAGTGGCTGGCACACTTTTTCCCTCATGCCAGCTCTGCAGAACTTCTTCGAGCACGAAGACAAAACCTTGCGCTTGGAGTTGCACTGCGAAAGCTGCCATCCCAACATTATGTCTTTGATGGCTACCGGTAGCAACTCTCACCAGCCGTTCTTGGTGGTGAAGGCGAAGATAAAAGAATCCGGCCATCGAGTCACCAAACGCAGCCTGAGCTGTGACCAGAACTCAGATCTGTGCTGTCGGAAAGACTATTATGTAAATTTTCGGGACATTGGTTGGAATGACTGGATCTTCAAGCCAGAGGGCTATCAGATCAACTACTGCATGGGGGAATGCCCTATGCACCTGGCAGGTGTGCCTGGGGTGGCAGCGTCCTTCCACACGACTGTCTTCAATTTGGTCAAAGCCAACAACATCCCCATTTCAGGCCATTCCTGCTGCGTCCCCACACAGCGAAGGGCCCTTTCGCTGCTCTACTTTGACCCTAACAGCAACCTCATCAAGACAGACATTCCCGATATGGTTGTTGATGCTTGTGGTTGCAGCTAAAGATGGGGTGATAAGCAGGGAGAAAAACCAAATGGACGAAGAGTAAGAAATGAGTTGCCACTTCCCTTTGGACTCCCACGAACGTCAAAGAACTCTGAGCCAAATTGAAGGGGTGATATTATCAGGTGGACTCTTTTCAAAAGAGCAACAGTTTTGTTCTTTCAGAGAGAACAAGTTACACTAAGATGTAAACTAGTCTGTTTTCTTACCATTGTATACTGCGTAATGTAGTGCTATGCAGGGCTGCCAAGTCTTGGGACACTGTATTTGTCTTCCTCTCTGAAGTTGCTCCACATGGGTTGGATTTACTTGGGAACTCCTTCCCTGGATGGGCAAAAAAAGGAGACCAAGAAGAGCTGCCCAGATTCATAGCCAAAGGACTCTTAAACAGGTTTTGCCTTTTGTACTGTGTGTGTGATTTATTGTATTTCTCTTAATGTATCTATATTATTTTATTTTTTGGAATGACATTTGTAGCAAAGCAAGTTTCAATAAAAAAAATAATAATAATAACCATTCAGTGTATTCTGAGAAATGTGTGGCAGGCCTATAAATGGGTATCTTGAGTAAAAAAAATGGACTTCAAAAACACTCTCTTTTACGAGAATCCATCCTTAGAATTCAACCACAGCTCCACTTTTGTTCCCTTTCCTCCTCCTTGCGACTCACAAATCTATCCATCTCCCACCTCCTGCTGCACCACACTTTGTCACTAAGCCAGTTTCCCACTGTTTGTACATTTAGCAAAATTCCTGAATCTAAACTCTGAGCTTTTCTGTCACTCCACCATGAACTGTCACCATAATGAAAACCGTGATTGAGGTGGAAATTGGCCTATGCGCTATCACAAATTGCACTATCATAATTGCCTGTGCAGAGAGCTAGAAAGATCCAAGAAGAGGGGAAGGAAGGAAGGAGGGAGGGAGGGAGGGAGGGAGGG